ATATTTTAACGCGATTCAGAAAAACTCCTTAAGTAACATGTTCTCTTACTGCTGCTGAAGAACATGTTATGGTTATTGTATTTTATGACTGAAAAATATGGGAGCTGGAACAAAAAACAAGTATTCACGCGCGCAAAAAGCATCTAACCTTGTAAAGCTTTAAGTCAAGAACATCTGTTTGTTGTTCCCTTGCATGTTTGCAATGTCTTTACGGTTTCCAGATGCACCAGTTAAGATGGACATAGTATTACTTACAATTATACCTCATTCTATTTTAATTTTCGCATAAAAAATCATTTTAAATAAAATTTCAAACACATCTTCTGTTTGTTCAGGCATCTGTCATGTTAACGTTATGGACATTCTTTCAATTCTCAACCATCTAATGCAAATTTTGCCTCGCTCATGATATTCCTTTCTTTTATCAGTACTTATCGCAAGTGTCCCATATAGTTATAAGTTCATTTGACCGATAAAAGTGCTGACAAAAAGATGCGTAGAACATTTCGATGCCAGTTTTATGGTGTCTTTTGTTGTGTTTTTTTTTTGCGATGAACGCCGCACTATGCAATGAACACTGCTGTATAGCGTTCACTGAAAATGGCCTACAAACACCGAACATAAAATAGAAAGTTAAATCGAATTCACTCAAGGTAATGTTTTGACTTATTTCTCTATCAAAACAACATTTTTCATCTGTTGAAATGTGCAAACTATGTTGACATAGTGTAATTCTCGGATAGACCAGTTATTTAATATTTATTTGTGGATTCCATACACCCTTATTCATCTATACTATCCAATCATGAACCCAGTGAAGATAACTTTCATTTTCATACTTATTTCATGTCGTTTTTTGGAGGAGAAGGATTCTCATGATTTCCAAGTAGAACAGTATCCGGATAATTATATTTCGGACAGTATCAAGGTTTTAGCAGTCAATTATGGACAACTTTTGAATTTAACACCTTTATTAATTAGTCAGTGTCAACTAGAAAGAATGTTTCTCGTACTTTAGCGAACAGAAATGATTTACTACCTATATCTTGTTGTTGTGTGGAGATTTCCTTTCGTGCCCCGGACGCTTTGCTAGTTTCACCACAAGTGATTTAAAGTTTCCAATAAACGTGGTCTTATTTCATTCATGTCAACACTAGAAGTCTTACCAAAGCTACATGGAATTAATTCTGTAGCTCGTAGATCTAGAGCCGCATGTACTTGTGTTTCCGCAACCTGGTTAGATTACTTAGTTCCAGATTCTGAAGTTAACATCGCAACTATTGTATTCAGCGCAGGGATCGAAACAGACAAGGGGGTGGCGTTTGTATATATATCAGGAAGGATTTATCCTACAACATAAGCAATGATCGCAAGCATGAAGAATAAGAAGCTACATAGATTGATATACTTTTGCCAAAATCAAAACCTATCTTATGTGGTGTTATTTATAGACCTCCTTTGCAACAAAACTTTTATACAATTTTAGACTCTTTATGCTCGTCAAGAAGTGACTTTTTACAATGTGTATCTATAATTTTAGGAGATTTTAATACAGATGTGTCTTAAATTAAGTCTTATCCCCTTTTGCAATGTTTAAAGTAATTTATTAAATTAAATATGTGCCATAACAATCAATTGATCTTAGACCCTACTAGAGTTATAACTACAAGTTAAATATTATTGTCTGTTGGTAATTACCGGCCTGTATCCATTTTAAATGTTGTATCTAGAATCCTTGAAAAGTTTGTTTATGACCAGGTTGAAAATTATTTTAAAGATGTAGATCTGTGGTATAAAATTCAATCAGATGTTTAAGGAGTGGTTTTCTTACTAAACCTTACTATTTTATCAGGTAGAACAAATAAAGGTAATGTTGAGGGTAGGGTGCTTTTTTGGATTTAGAAAGCTTTTTGACGAGTCGCCCTTCATTTTTTTAATAAACAAAGCACAGTTCAGTAATGACGTTTTAAAATTTGGGTTCAAATCATAAAAAAATAGATAGAAGCAGTTTGTAAGTCTTGGTACTTTTTTTTCCCAAATTTCCAAAAAAAACATCGGGTGTTCCTCGGGGTCGGGCATTACCCCTTCTTTTTAATTTATTAAATTAAAATGTAGCTGTGGTCGACCCTTTATATAGAGTCTAAAACATATGTGTACATGAACACTTGAATACACAAGGGATTTATTTTAAATGTTAAGGGATAAGCATGTTTAATTTAGTTGTAATTTCGAGATTACATTCCTTTTTTCACATACAAGAGTGTCCCTTCTCAAGACGAATGACTGGTCAAGAATTTCCCACAATCATAAGATTTTGAGACTACCAGCCTGTCATGAGATGCATCGTAAGACTTAACTTGTTTGCTTTGGCCAAACCCTTGACAACAAATAGCGCATACATGTTTCTTAAGTCCGGTTGCTACATACGGTGTATGTTTAATCAATATTTAGATTTATATTTGTTTCCACATTGGCTACACGTTAATTTGGATTGTGTCTTTTTTGTTTGGCTGGTCGAAGGTTCTTCTTGGACACCTGGTCCATTGTTTCACAGGACAGATCCAGCTGAAATTATTTAAGATTACAGTTGTTATAATGAACACTCAAGCTTCTGAAACTGTATTTACAAACATTACATCGTTAATGTTTCATCCGGGAAAACGACAGTTACCTTAATTACTTTACTTAATGGAAAATTACAATTAAGGTTTAAAATGCAACATTATGATAATCATTTGTTCTGAGCAATCTATGAATATGCATGTCAGTTACTTTAAATTGGCAAAACAAGATAGTTTATTTGAATCAGTCTTTCATACAATAAGTATAGCATTTCATACAATAATTATAGCAATAAAAGAATAAAATTAAAAATATTACCTATTAGACATATCCCTTAAAAATTTGTATAAAAACGATAATCTTTGATTCATCATGAGTGTATGCTTTACAATAAGATGTTGAGATAAAAATGTTAGATCGAAAAAATGGGTCTTTAAAATGAATAAATATATAGGCGTTTACATCATATTATAAAGCATAAATAATTAGTTGATTTCTAACTTTGAGATTGTAAATGTTCTGTCAAATTCAAATCGTTCATTTCAACTATTCTCAAGTGTCTAAATTTCAAGTAGCTAATGCACGGCGGCTAACACGGAAGACATGTGCTAATGCCGTTTTGCAGAAAATGGCACTCGTACATAATATTTTCAGTGTCTGATCAATTATCAAACTCCTGTCTTGTGTGTAGGTAAGTTAACACATCTCCGCATTCGGACCTTTTCCATTCAACAAGTTAGCCAGAAGATAACAGTAATAAGTGGTGCCAAATCGTCTAAATTAGTATGCAACTCGTGAAAATGTCTCATTAATACCGATGGGAGTTTATGGTTATGAGGATGTGACAATAACAAATAAACGTAGTTATATCAGACTCAAAAACAATTATAAATACAAGTTAAATTGTTAACCATATTAAAAAGATTAAAAGACGGATTTTGCTACAGCCAATGCGTTTTGGGCTAGATATCTTGTTAAATATCACCGTCGTCCACACATATCAACTAATAGCTAATTAGAATATTTATGTGTTCATCGGGACTATTCGCCGAGCCATTATACGGAAGTTACATTGATGACCATAGATTTCCAAGAATTTGAAAGATAAAGACATCTTGCCTTTAGCGCGGACTTAGCTCCCACGACTTTTGAGTTTGTTTCGCGATTAAATTCGGATTTACACGGACGACTGTTCGAATCTGTGCTTGAAATACAAAACAAAACATTACTGAAACAATATGAAAATTATTGGTAATCTACCATACCTTGAATTAACTGGCATTAGCAACGCATAGAGTGTGGTGAGAAATGTTTTGAGAAGATGTTACAGTTGTAAAGTAAGCGACGTCGTTTTGACGTTATAAGGTGCTTCACGTATTGTTCCGTTTTTCTTAACGACATACGTTTTTATTTTAGCTTATTTTTTCTGATTTTCTGATGCTTTGTTTACATGGGTATGTTTTGTTTTTTATCCCCTAATCAATTCGGGTGCTTAACAAATGAATTAAATCTTACACTAATAAAGATCAAAAATTGTGACAAATTTTTCTTTAACTTTTTGCAACCCACAGACAAAAGACAAAAACATAATATTCCCTTTTCTCTTCGTATACAATATTTGGTTTTTCCTTTTCTGCTGAGTACATCAAACTTCCAAAGTAATTATTGCATGATTTTTTTATGAGATAAACAATATCTTCCTAGTTTGAAGAACATTCCAATCTTATCTTATATGTTTATAATTTTTACAACTATGGCCTTAAAAATATGTTTTAACCTTTTATCAAATTTCCTACTTTCGTTTATGCTTAAAATTGGCAAATATTTCGTTTGTGAACTTTCTAAACATTTAAACGTTTCAAGAATGTGTAAACTGCTATTCATATAAAATAACATAATTACATTTTATTACATGAATGAAACAACTTGATTAAACATTTTTAAACTTATTTGATTTTGAAAAAATAATTAACAAAATAAAATACCCCACTCTTTTTCTAACATATTAAAAAACGGTCAAAAAAAAAAAAATTTTCTTTATAAATTTGGTAATTGAAAATTCCAATCAACCATACCCCCCTTTTGAAACCAAAATTTAAACTTTAAAAAGCTAAGTTTAAAAGAATTTTTATGTTAAGCGTGACACTGTTTTAAATTTTCTTCCTCTTTACGATTTTAAAAAACCGCCCGGAATCGATAACGAAACTAGGACAAAGTTGGCGATACGATATAAGTTTACTTTAAGCGTTATATTAAATAGGGTGTGAATTTTTTCTTAATTAATATAGAGCGATTGGTATTTTGAAGATATAACTGAACTTTTTATTTCAATTTTGATCTGATTTACATATTCTTTTATTTTGAATATAAGGATACAAATTTTAATTCTCCGTATCCTTTGTTGCACAAGTAATTAATCACATTGACATTTTCTATTTTACAGACGTAGACAAAAGTCATTAGAAATGGTGTCGACAAACGAAGATATTGTTGGAATCAAGACAAGTTTGATGTATCCACGAGAAGAAGAAACACGTGATTCAAAGAGATATGTTGCTTTTAATTACCAGAAAAAAGATTACAAATTCCATCCTCTAGAGATAAATTTCGCCCAGTCTATATTAAGCTCAAGCAGAACGATTAATTACATGGACCTCTTCCAATGTTCTCAAGATAAAACTGATTATGGATCAGGATCAGATTCTGCCGAGGAAGAATGGAGTCCATATAGCTCTACAGATAACCTAATGTATGAAGAAATGGCACCTTCTGGAAAAACAAACAAAAATAGTTCAAGACAACAACGGCTTCAAAGGTCTTCTTGTCAAATTGACGAACAACTTGTAGAACAAAGTGCTTTGTTTTTTGAAAAAGACTGTGTAGTGCAGCATATGACCGGACCAAATGTACAAGAAGACAATACAACAGCACGTGGGACTCTTGCATGATCAGGAAAAGGATATAATTCGATATTATTACCAATGCTTGAAGTCCTATCAGTTAAAAATGTAGTGATGCCTGAGAATTACTATACGCGGTTGGCTACCTTTCGTGAAAATAAGGTATGCTGGCCACATGATAATCCTTCTGCAGAAGACATGACCATTGCTGGATTTATTTTCAGAGGTATGTACATCATTATATTTTAGTAATTTTATAAGATTGTTTTTCATTAATTGAAAGCAAATGTAACAATTAAAAGGCCTAAAGTAGATCCGGTTTAAAGTTTAGCGTGGTACGTGATTCACATACAAAAACTGATACGTTTTTATAAAACAAATTACACGTTGGAAAATCTTTTATTACCGTCTTACTTATGAGTACTAAACAACTAGCAACAATTAATAGCGTCAATCAGTTGCTGGTACGTTTTTATAAATTGGTGGAAGTGTGCTTTAAATGATTTTTTCCAAATTGTCCAACAATAGCTTTATTGATTTCATTGTATAAGTAAAGTTGAAAGTAATATAAACATTACCGATTCTTTATGTGTATTAGATTCAGAGCAGAAAGGAATAAACTTTCATACTTTAATATGTTAAATACTTATAGTCTGTATAACATGCTAGATATAGGGGTTGAAGCGAAGGTTGTTCAGTGTTTTATTATTACTTTTATATTGTCAACAACAAGCACCCGCAACACTTCTTCTTTAAAAATGAGTGTAGATATTTTAATCGACATACAACTGCTAGTAGGTAAACAAAATTATATCATGATACGTGAGACGTAAGAACAAAGCTATAGTTTTCAGAAAAACATTTCCAATATTATTTTTTGATGAAACCAGTTGTAAGTATAACGTTGTCAATTCAGGCGTGTTTACGACAGTCTGTGATAAGGTCGAGTGTGACAAATGTGGAGGGACACTCTATGGATTTGAGGAAGGAGACGATCCCATTGCAGAACATGAAAGATTATATCCGCAGTGTAAATGAAGTAAGCAATAAACTGATGTTTTATTACTTTATAAGCGTCGAAGTGCTAGATCCGATTAGACTAGTGGTTTGGTTTCAACATTTCATATTGATGTAGATATGCATTTTAATGCACTTTTAGTAAAGGTACATGAACATTTATATACAAATAGACTTCGATTTCAAATAAACCTTACATAACTAAGAATATTATGATGCCTTTTACTTTTTACATACATTACAGACAGAAAGTTAAACGTTTTAAGTTTTACTTTTAGAGTGCCTATGTGATACATTCTATAAGATTGATTTTCAAACGGAATCGCAACATACTAATCAGAACACATTACAAGAAATATATGACTTTTCTTTTCAGAGATATAACATTCAGAAGACCATCAGAGAACTTTAGGCTTTAATTCACATAGGAAATTATGACAGGACTATTTTCTTTTTCCTTATGGGGGCAATGGCTTTTTGATTTAATTTCAACTCCTTCTAAAATACAAAAGTTTAAGAATACCTTATACAGCACGCGTTAGTTGAAAATCACCTGCTTAGGAGATCATATATTGAAGGAACAAATAACCTTAAATCTATGAATGAAGTGAACTAAGATAGCAACTGATTGTTATTGTATTTTCGATTTATTTCCAACACAATGCAAACATTGACAGGTCCCAGTTGAAAGTGTATTACAGTAACAAAGTGGCGAAGCTCTACAAATGCTAAAGTGTTCAATCGTTGTGAAGACTGACTATGAATAAACAACACTATATATATAGAAACAGTGTTATAATTTCAAGAAGTAGCATAGAATCGCTCGATTCCAACAATATGCCTAAAATTACCTTCTTCACTTGACTCCGAAATTCACATTTTTTGGTGACTGACAAACATACTGATACGTTTAAAAGAATAGGAATTACATTAAAAAAATGTTTATACTGAGTACTTTTAAATATTGTATTATGAGAACGTTAATAATGGCCAAAGCATAAATGTATATAGCTATGTAAACAATTTTTGTACAATTATCTACTTATCTTTTCAATGCCTGGCACTTTCCTTATCAGTACGTGTTAAGTATCAATAACTGAATTAGATCTTTAAATTTCTTTAATGCTATTTTCAATATGTCGTGTCAATTCAATGATACAAAGTTCAGGATGGATTTAGTTGACATTTTGATTCTACTTAATTCCTTTCTATTATGTTCTATATTGTGACAAAGTTTTGCCATATGGTAGGTTTGTGAAAATATCATACGTTATAAACAATACTATTCAGGTTTTAACCAACTCGATGGTCCCGCAGCTGCTTCATGTACGAAAACTATGAAAAAGCAAGATAATACTCTTAAATATTAAGCATTTGGGATTATTTTTGTTTTAGATTGCTTTGTTTGCTTTTTCGAGGAGTTAATAATATTTGTGATATCAAAACAAATCCTTTCGAGAACCAATAACATTGTATTACAGTCGACTCTCGTTATCTCGAAGTCATCGGGACCGTCCAAAAAATATCGAGATAACGAAATGTCGAGATAAACATATTAGGGTTTGAATAAGGCAGAAACTAATTTTTACAAAAGACATGTGCATACCTTATGTCAAATAAACTATGGTATCCCCATGTCTTGTTTTCATAGGACTAGTCACTTTTTAACAAAGTAACATTAGCGGATGTTTACCAGCAGAAATACGGGTTTCTGTGATAAAAACACACAGTGATGTTTACTCAGTAAAACACCAATATAGTGAAAACATTGTTTTCAGGGTGGTTGATCCGGATATCCTCCCGGGTTATTTATCGGGTCTTTCTCGAGATTGTTCGACAACAATATTGCAACGATAGCGTTTCTATACTTTCACTGTTTCATTTACATTTAAAGTCATAATGAATTGATACAGTGTTCGAATATTTATAAAGAACGTTAAATTCACTCATTTCGGACATAAGTCAATCAACACGCTAAATAGATTAACTTTTGTAAAAACAGCTAAACATGTTACAAACATAATCATCATTATGACACGCGCTGTTGAGCAATTATCGTCTAGTTTGTGTTTTTCACAGGTTTGAAGGGAACAGACGAAAGAAAATATTAGTCAAGATAAACAAAGGATAATAGTGTGAAAATAACTGTTGGTACTGAAATTGTACATCGAGATACTGAAAATATCGAAGTAAAAATATCGAGATAAAAAATATTTCCAATATAGATATAGAAGTAAGAAAATCGGGACTTTCATCGAGATAACGAAAAATCGAGAAAAGCGATGTCGAGGTAACGATAGTTGACTGTATAATAATGGCGTATTTTACCTTAATGTAGAACCATAGCATATAATTATTTTATGGTTACAGATTGCGACAGTCTGGCTTACTTTTTATGTCAATTTAAACCTAACGAAAGAGTAAATGAATTTAGAAAACAATTTTACATTGATGCTAAAACAAAAATTATTATATGGTTATGATTGCGACAATGACATGATAATGCTATTTTTCAAATCAGATTTAAAATTCAATGAAGAAGGAAGTATCCTAGCATGTGCATGTCAAAACAACTAACGGGATCACGTTACTATATTCCGATGATCTCTTAAATCTCTTTGTTTTTATTGTATACAAATTGTATAATTAGTTGCATAAAATGTATCAATGGATTTCACAATGTATTATTTGAAAACAAATATATTATTTGATATCCCGCTTGTCCATATGTGCAGAATATTGTTACATGTATCATGCGTAGAAAAACGAGACTAAAGTACTGTTTGGGTAACTTTCTGTGTAGTACGGGAAAGAGAATGCAGAACTAACCGTTTACATTTTAATTCTATTTTAATTCTATTATAATAATAAGTGTACAACAATCTACTCTGCTAAATTCCGAACTCCCCTGGTCAACTAGCTGTGTCAAGCTTTTTATACAATAATTATGTCAACATAGTTTTTTCATCATAATTGATGTACATGTACGTACTTGGAGTTATATATAGAACTGTTATCAATCATCCTTGACATATTTCAACCACCCAATGGGCATTTTGCACCAATATTGTAAAATAACATAATTACATAAATCATGTAATGTTTAATGTTCTTATTATGTAGTAAATACAAGTGTACATGTATATGCTCCAAAACTGTGTTGGTCATTCATTTGAATTATATAAACTATGTATGACTAATTGTACTAAAAGTGCATAATACAACACTTAACAATTTTGTAAACAATCTGATTGTTTAAATGAAATAAATTTATAATAAATCATTACTGTACTTTTACCCTTTTATTTACCCTTTTTATCGAATTTTAATGCAATTTTCAAAGAGAAGTTTGTCGTTACTTCCTGTTTATCGAAAATAAACAATGAGTGTGAAAGGAATGTAAAATAAACTGTTATCGGTTTGCAAACAAAAGCTACAAAAATCATAGAAAAGACAAAACATTTATTGAGACTTGCCCTAAAAATGACTATCCGGTCAAAGTTCCCTCTGAGTGGTTTAAAGATCCACAGTTGATCAAAAATAATCAAGCTGGACATTATTTGAGATTTCAACGATAAAACATGTGATATTCTATTCTTTCCGTATACTTTGAAACAAAAACAAATATTCGTAGATTTATTTAGATAGATTTGCCCTTATCGTTGACAAAGAAAGAGATAAAACTCATGTCAATAAGTACTCCCATGAGACGGAATTCCATGTTATTTTGAAATGCACGTTTATGCAAACCAGGAGATACTAATTAAAGCTCTGATAAAGTAGAAAAGTAAACATTACATTTGTATCAAAACATAGTGTTTAAAAGAAAGAAATATAAATATTCTTGTTTCATTCGTTTGTCATCAAAACATGAAAATTTAAAACTAAATCTGATTTTAAAACTTGATTATGTAGCAACTCCCTCCTTGCGCCACTGCCCTCAAACTAATGAACAAAAAACATTGATTTCTTCATGTAAATGAGATCTATAACTTGATTTACATGTATAGTAATTAAAGTGTAACAACTGGTAAAATCACCGTAAGAATAAATCCTACAATTAATGATCTGTGTTTTGAACATATACTGTATTTTTTTGCCATTTATAAAAAATAAACGTTTATTTGGATGACTTAAAAATAAAAGATAAAGAAAGATGTATGCCGCCAAAAAGATATATTACTCACAAAATATATATAATTGATATAATTCACCTAAATATATATAATTGATATAATTCACAAAAATAGATACAAGAGGGCCATCATGGCCCTAGATCGCTCCCCTCACCCTTCAACCGTATCCAAACAATGTCTTAGACAAGCAATCTGGCCATGTTTGATGGCAATTGTGTCAAAAATAGGACCTCTAGTGTGTTAAAAAGGTTTTGACATATTTGGCCAGTGTGACCTAGTTTTTTTTACCGGGGATGACCTTTATTTAAACTCGACCTAGAAGTCATCAAAACAACCTTCCTGACCGGTTTCTAGGAAATTTGGATCAAAACTGCAGCCACTAGAGTGTTAACAAGCTTTTTCTGTTTTTAGGTCCTGTGACCTAGTTTTTGACCCATCTTCAAAACTGACCTAGAAATCATCAAAACAACCTTCTTGATAAATTTCCAGAATATTTGGATAAAAACTGCAGCCACTAGAGTGTTAACAAGCTTTTTCTATTTTTAGCTCATGTGACATAGTTTGTGACCGGAGTTGACCCATCTTCAAATGTCCTAAAAATCATCAAAACAACCGTCTTCACAAATTTCCAGAATATTTGGATAAAAACTGCAGCCATAACAGTGTTATCAAGCTTTTTCTTTTTTTAGCTCCTGTGACCTAGTTTTGACCGGAGATGACCTATATTTGAACTTCACCTAGAAATAATCAAACAACCTTTCTGACCGATTTCCAGGATATTTGGATTAAAACTTCAGATGACCCATCTTCGAACTTGACCTAGAAACCATCAACACAACATTCTTGATAAATCTCCAGAAATTTTTAATCGAAACTGCAGCCACTAGAGTGTTAACAAGATTTTTCAATTTTTAGCTGCTGTGACCTAGATTTTGACCGGACATAACCCATCTTCGAACTTGACCTAGAAATCATCAAAACAACCTTGTTGATACATTTCCAGAATATTTGGATAAAAAATGCAGCCACTAGAGTGTTAACAAGATTTTTCAATTTTTAACTTCTGTGACCTAATTGTTGGCACGAGATAACTCATCTTCGAGCTTGACCTAGAAATTATCAAAACAATTTTTAAAAAAATTCCAGAATATATGGATCAAAAATGCAGCCACTAGAGTGTTATCAAGTTTTTTTTTTTCATTTTTACATTCTGTGACCTAGTTTTTGACCAGATATAACCAATCTTCGAACTTGACCTAGAAATTATCAAAGCAACCTTCTAGATAATTTTCCAGAATATTTTGATCAAAACTGTAGCCACTAGAGTGTTAACAAGATTTTTCAATTTTTAGCTGCTGTGGCCTAGTTTTTGACCCGAGAAAACCCATATTCGAACATAACCTAGAAATCATGAACAATTTTTAAAACAAGTTTCCAGATTATTTGGATTAAAATTGTAGCCACTAGAGTGTTAACAAGCTCTATTTGTATTTTTAGCTCCTGTGACCTAGTTTATGACCAGAGATGACCCATCTTCGAACCTGACCTAGAAATCATCAAAAAACCCTTTCTGACAAATTTCCGGAATATTTGGATCAACACTGCAGCCACTAGAGTGTTAACAAGCTTTTTTCTATTTCTAGCTCCTGTGACCTAGTTTTTGACCGAGATGATCCATCTTCGGACTTGGCATAGAAATCATCAAAACAATCTTTCTGACAAATTTCCAAAATATTTGGATCAAAACTGCAGCCGCTAGAGTGTTAACAAGCTTTTTTCTATTTTAGCTCATGTGACCTAGCTTTTGACCCGAGATAAACCATTCTCGAACTCAATCTGTATTTCATTTAGACAAACTTTCTGACAAAGTTTGATGATGATCCAATCAAAACTGTGACTGCTAGACTGTTGACAACCAAATTGTTGACGACGAACGACGCACGACGACGGACGCCGGACATAGCCCCATCACTATACCTCACCTTGACCACTTCGTGGTCAGGTGAGCTAATAATTTACCAAAAAAGATATAATTCACCAAAAAATTATCATTCACTAACATATTTAAGCGATTACAAGTTATGGTTTATTTGACAATCAAGGAAAACTATCGTACTACGAGTATCAAACCAAACAATACACGCTTGCAATATTTATAGTTTTTAAACGAATGAATAAGTTAAACAACTACAGTCTTACAATTTATTATTGATTGTGTATAACTGAACGCTTCAACGGAAAGGGGTAAATATCGATTAAATACGCATGCATAGTGAACAAAATGGCGGCTTTTCAGGTAAGATTAAAATGCAATTCATATACTTTATTTTAAACTT